GCAGCAACGACAACTGCAGAACTCAAAGCAAAATGTTTCCAGATTCTCTTATGTGGTTAGAGCTCAACATAACATGGGATACTAGATTAAATTTAGCTATCACAGGCTGGTCACCCTCTTGCAAACACATACACACAAATATATGTTCATGCAAAACTGTACATGTATACCCACCCTGTGTACGTGCCTATCTACCTATCTGCATTAGAAAAATTTGAGGAATGCTCTGCTGCTACATTTATTGACAGAGTCCCCAGGGTACTGCACCTATTCTTTTTTGGCATTACTGGTGTAATGCAAGATATAAAATTCCCAATAGATGTTCTAAGTTTGTATTTAATAGACCTGGAGGCTCTGAGTGCCTTTTCACAGATTGCGTTCCAGCTGTCTGCCGATATTCGAATGTGCAGGTCCTAGTCCCATGCTGTGCAAACAGGCAGCCTCCCACGCATTCTGTGTACCAGGAGTAATTTATGAGTCTATCTATAAAGGAAATAACAGTGCGTTAAGAAGGGGTTATGTAAAGCTCTGAGATTGAGAAGTAGTTCAGTTAACTGAGTACAACTTCCAAACATCACTGTTATGTTTCATCTGATTTACAAATGCAGGAGGCCTTCATCTAGTGATTCATGCTCTTTCTGAAGCAGACGGGGGGGGGAAATGTAATAACTGTCTCTACATAAATCTCATACCACTGAAAGGCTCCTACCTTGAAACCTCATATTCATTAACCGTCTTTTGCAAATACGGGTATCTGAATTGAACTGCGAGTCCCAAGACATCATGGGCTATTCCAGTCCCAACCACATAGAAGAAAAAATAAAATAAGAGGCCGTGGCCATTTATTTTCAATCACACGCGGCAGGGATATCTGCAAAACTGTCATTTAATGCAGATTCTGTTGGTAAAGTATAGGCCTCCACATAATAAAAGCACACTCCCAAAGGCAGGCACCCCTGTCGGGAGTAATCACGCGGAGGCAGGAGGGCAGCGGAGCCTTCCCACCTCCGCCAGGCGCGTCTCGGGCGGGCGCCGCTCGCAGCTGCCCGGGGCAGCTAGCCCACCCACCGCCTTGCACCCGGGGAGGCTGGGGCTGGGGTGCTGCGGCCCAGTGAAACAAGTGAACAAAGATGTTGAACCGCAGTACATTTTTTTTTCCCCAAACGGGAAGTCAGCCTGTAGAGATTGGAGACCCCTGTTTGAAAGACCTGTATGCAAATCATTTATGAACACTGCTTTGCAAACCCAACTGGCAGATAATGGGGTTTGAAAAGCAAAACCTTCCATAATTAAAAAGCATGCTATATTTAGCAACTGCTCGTCAGTTTTCAATTGGAAACAAAACAAAAGGCAAAAGTTGCAGTCCCTTCGGCTTAACAAGTTCAGCATTATTTATTTACTGTCCCTTAGAACATGAATATTTAAAGTGGAAAATGACCTCTAAACAGAAGAAAGTGATCAAAATCCATATGTGCCACCTCCACCCAGAGGACGAGCTGAGTTTGCTGCTCAGCTCAGGTCAAAGGAAACTAGAGCAGAGGTTTCCATCTCGGTAGCTGGCACCCCAGCCGCCCACATCGAGGCACTGACCTGCAAAAAGCACCTGGCTATGAATGTGCCTATAAACCGTCCATCTCTACTGTGAGGTTGTAGCTCCTTATGGGCAACAGAGAGAGCAAGGATGGGGCAAACAAATGGGAAGTTTGGTATGAGGCCGAAGCTGGACGTCCGTGCTCGAGGCTGCTTGGTATTTTGGTAGATGGCCGAGGGATGCAGCCAGCAGTTACAGGCCTTAGGATGATCTTAAGGCCGACCTGAACTATCACATCAAAAGACTTTATTGTACAAGCTTGTTTTCAGAAACATTTCTCCCTCCACTCCAGACTACTACCAATATCAAATATTTCTCTTCTCACAAAATGAGTAGGTCTTTTTTAAATCTCACCTCTCTCAACTTTCTTGAGAATGTTATTAAAATGTTAGGCACCTTTTTTTGCAGGCATTTCTAGGAAAAATCTCGAGGGAGAAGAACTAAAGGAGAACACTGATGATTCTCTTTAAAACCCACAGATCTGTTTGATTTGAAGATTTCAAGACAAAACCAACTGTGAATATGGAATTTTTTCAGCATTTCCAAGCTGACAACTTTGATCTTGAGGGGTTCCTCAGTGACTTTCTGAGTATTTTGCAAAGCCAGCAGAGATGATTAGCGCGATGGGCCCAGCCCCAGGCTGGCTGCAGCGGCTGGGGGGACTGCACTATAGGGTCCGGGAGCACATGCGCACCGGCTGGTGCCAACCAGCACGGTAAAGCATCTTCGCCATCACAAAGGCCAGAGAATTTCAGGCAAATGGATCCACATGGATCAGGCTCATCTGGAAATCAGAGATAATAATATTTCCCTACCTCACAGGCGCATTACAGGATATATTCATTAGTGTTTGTGAGGCAATCAGAACATCACAACATGGAGTGCCATAAAAAGCTGCCTGTGAAATGTGTCAATCAATCAGCCAATCAGCCAGAGCAGAGCTCTACCCTCTCTCCTCCTGTCATGCGAGCGAGACATCCTGGATTTAAAAGCCAAGGAACTGTCTGCCATTTTCTCTGGTATTTTAGCCACTGGGACTCAAGCTTTGCCAACTGTTAGCACCTAATGTTGCAACCAGCACATTTCAGCTTCAGCTAGTGAGATTTCTGGCATTGTGCTTAAAAAGATGCTGCATTCCTAAAAAAAGCACTTTTTGCAATGGAAGCTTCTCATGAAAAAATGATTCACACCCATTTTTCACCGAAGTGTGTTGAAAGCAAAAAAAGAAAAAAGGGAAAAGGAGAAAGCAGCAGCCACAGTGCTGGAAAATTCCCCAGGGAGATGTGGGCCTGCCTGGTGCCACAACAGTGCGTTATTATGATTTACTTTGATGTCTAGTTTGTAGGACTTGGACTTTAACGAGTTCCTCCATCTGGCCAGGAAAAGGAAGAGCTGAAATAATCACCACTAAGTGACAAGGTTACACAAAAACTTCCCCTATGGGCAGGTGAATCCTTCGCTGGTCAGTGCAGAAATCCTCGTCCCATCCCCCAAAGGAGCTGGAAGAGGACGAGACTGGTCCCCAGAATGACTCAGGTCTGGACTTACTGGTTTCCCACAGCAGGGCGCCTCCAGGAAAGAGCCTGCAAACAAGCACTTCCCGGATGCATTTTCACCGCAGCGACCCAGACCCCAGCTCTGCCAAACCGTCAGCTTGTGCAAGCAGAGTCTGGGCTCTGGCGGCACGCTGCCCTTCTCTGCACACATGCAGCCCAGGGTAGAAGCCAGGAGGCAGTTTTCTAGGTAGAGTATGACACTAGGCCAACCTAACAGTTGTGTATCAGATAGGACCTGCAGAAGACTCGTTATAGGCTAATTAATCAAGCAAAAGACTCCTGGACAAAGGTTGATGACATTCACTTCAGGATAATTTTGAAATAAATATGAAGATTCACAGAAGAAAAAAGCAACATTGGGAAAAGATTATTTTTGAAGAATAAATGTAGCTCATTTCTAGACCCCCTCCTCCACATATCAATTAATGAAGCAAATCATCCATCTGAATCAAAGATGTGGGAGAAAAACATAGTTATCCATTTGAACTACAAAAAAATTAAAGGATTTGGGATGAAACATATAATTAGCCTGTAGGACTCTCTGCTGTAGATTATTGAGGCAAAAAAAAAAGCTTACTAACGTTCAAAAAGGCACTAGACAGCTACAAGAATAGCTTCTGCTGCTCCACAAGGTAGGGGGGAGTGCTGTTCTAGAGATACCAGTCTCGAGGTAGCCAGGGCCCCGAGCTGGGCTGCAGGCGATATTATTTGACACTTATGCAGGCTCCAAAGCATATCACATTTTGACCTGTTGATTGTAACCACCGAACCTCCATCAAGGAGGCCGGCGCTCCGTCCCCTAATATCAGGCAATCAGCAGGTAGCAACAGTACAGTACCCGACATAGGAAGGGTTTCGTTCGGCAATGTTTTTGCTCCTCTGATTGAAGGCAGGCAAGAAGTGCTAAGCATGGCTATTTTCATCAGGCCCTCGTGCTGCAGGACACAGAGCTGATGAACACCAGCTGGCACCAGGAGGCCACGTTCCCACCAATTAGCTGTATTATGATGCTCTGCAATCTCCTCTGAAGCATCTGGCACTGGCCACTGGCAGGCTCGGCTACAGGATGAATCGTCGCTCTGCTCCGTTGTGGCAACTCTTATGTTATTAAAGTTTGGATTGAAACGAGGAGCTCAATGTCAAACATATAAGCCTTGCCAAAGACTCCGCAGATGCTGCATACACAAACACAAAAAAAAGGGTTAATATTACTTACTCTGGACCAAGCTGATTCTGACTTTCATACATAAATTGAAAGAACATCCCTTAACAGGCATCTTTTTTTCCAGAGATTATCACTTGCATAAACACGAAATACCTATGGGTCACATCTGAAAATCCCTCCTTATTATTACTATTTATTTGCAAATGCAGTAGCTGCTAGAGGCCCAGGCAGACGGACAGGCACCACTTATCTTCCGCCAAGACTTGGATACATGCCTAACCTTAAGGATGTGTTGTGCTGTCACTAGTTGCACCAATGCAAAAGTGAGTGCAAAATGCCATTGTAGGGAGCTAGAAGTATTTTCATGCAATCTTGTACTGCTGAAAACAGCTAGTCAAAATACAGAGCCCAGAGAGAAAACTCCTACAGCTTTGCGTGGGCACCATGCACATACCTGGGGGGTTGGCCTGATAGGTTAAGCAGAGGACTGCAGCGGAAGAGGACTTTTGCCTGCCTGTTGGCCTGGGTGCCCTTACCCAGGTCGTTCTGCCTTCCCATTCCTCAGTCTTCTCCTGCCCAAAGTAATAACGGTCCTGACTCCTCTAGTCAAGGGCTGGCACCTGCTGATGGAAAGTTTTCTGGAACAGGCACGTCTTAGCATAATCCAGTCACTCCCAAATAAATACCCATTTGAAATTTCCACAGGTAGAGCAGAGTTTTCAGCAGCAGCTCCGTTAAAATTCTACGAGTTACTTGATCACGGGTTAAAAAAAAAAAAAAGTGAATAGAAAATGATTTTCTCACAAATAAGACTACTGTGACTAAGCTAGTTGCTTCCCTTCGGAAAAGATTTAAGCTTTTTCTCCCTTCTTCTGCAGTCTGGATCCCTTTTGAAGTTAAAAGAAAGGATGGTTTGGGGGCTTTTTATTTAAGAAGAAAAAAACCCTTCTTCACTTTGAAAATATTTTTCTTAGACAATTGCTGTCTCAAATTTTAACAAATACTCACTAATTGCACCTTGTTCAAAAGCCAAATGGTAACTTTGATTTTTTTTTGCTTAAGAAGTGTACTGGCTGTTACTCTGCCTTTCTTTGTCTTAGTGGCAGAAGGGAGAGTCTTAAAGAAATCAAACTACCAGCTCCATTCCAGATTTCCACAATTTGTTATATAATTTCTTAAAAGGAGCCATAAGGCCACCTGGAGAAAAAAATCTTTTAAAAGAAAAAAGAAAATAGATTTTTCACCCATCTTCTTGCAGATGAAGTAGATGAGACTAAAAAAGGAATTTCATTTAAAACATTGTATTGAAGCCCAGGAAAAAAATGCGAGGAGGTGTCTCTGCTAGGATTTCATTCTAAGGGACCAGACAGGAGAAATGAAGAGACTTTCTTCAAGGACAAAGAGAAAGGAAGTTTTGAAAAAGATAAGCTTGCTTTAACACATCCTTTTTTTTTTTTTTTTTTAGCCACATGAGAAGAGACGTGGGGTTTTGTTTTCCTGAGGAGTAGATTCTGATTTCTGCATGTTTAAGGTATGCTGGGGGTTTGAATGACAGGCAGGGAGATGCTATACGTATATCTCCTTGCAATGGTGCCTTATAAATACAACAACACTTTAATTTAGGAACCAGGTGCTCAGGGCTGTTCAGACTGTTCGGCGTTGCTCCAGCAACGAGGAGCTGATCTGAATGGCCACCGAGAGATTCCCCCCTCCTGAGAAAAGCCTCACGAGGATCTGAGTCCTGGGCAGCAGGTGCCCAGACGCAACGGGGACCCAGAGCCCGGGGCCTCTCATGCTGCCCGGCTGTGCACAGCCCCACAGCCAGCGTGGTCGGGGCCAGCCCTGGCCTCCGGCACCAGCAACTCCAGTACCATCCTGCTAGAACCATCTGACCAAAAGAGGTCCATCAGTCCTACCGCTGATCCCCTTAACCAAGGTGGTGGAAATGAGCCAATCCTCCAGTTGGCTTAATGCATAAAGCTCTCTTTCTCTCCATCTCGTACCCGTGCACATGCATACACACAGGCGCCGGTGCGCCCCGTTCATACATATGTATGCACACGAGGGAAGTATAATGAAATGCAGCAGCCTTTCCGTTCCCGGAGGGAGCAGAATCTCCTATGGCTGTTTGTGGCGGACCTTGCTCCCTGCACGCCACCAGCCAAACCCAGCTGGGTCTCACCAAAGTCATCTGTTCAAGTCTCTCCCTCCAAAGCAGGTTGGAAGCACCACATCCCCAGTCCTGAACCTGGCACGGCTCCCGGGTGCTCGGCAGCTGGAGACAAACTCGGAGGCTGCTGTGCGCATAGTGAGCCTCGCGGGAGGCTACCGGGGACTTGAGAGCAGAGAGGAGAGACGATGAGGGCAGCAAGAAATCAAAGTGAGTGCAGGAGGCCAGCAAAGTTAGAGGTGGTCCTGGGGAAGGGAGACAGATTTTTATCCCAGGCACTGGAGCTGGGGAAGGTTGGAGAAGACTAAATGGCTCTGGGGAGAAACAACAGTGCAGGCAGCCTCGGATTTGTTGTTATTTATCGGTTATGAGCATTAGTGTATGCTGTGGTGGGTGTGTTTGCACATCTCTAATCAACTAAACAGTTTGTATGTAGCCCTGAAAGAATGGCAAATTAACCCGATATTCTGGTGTTGGAGACATTTTGTACCGAAAAGATGTATTTGGTGGCAGACTCGCAGATTCCTGCCTGGATCACACGTTTGCATCCAGGATGTTTTCTGTCCAATATAAAGCTGATGAAAATAAAATCAAACAGCCAAACAACCTTTCCAACAAAAATAAATGGAGCTTAAACATCAAAACATGCATATGCAATTCTGCTATTTGTTTATAAAAACAAAAATCAACGTCTTGAATACAAGACTTTCAGGTCTCTTCAGCTCAAAATATCAATTAATTTAGAAGTTCCCTCTGAATTTTTCAAGTGTTTTCCGGTGAAATTCAAACCAAAATTAACCAGAAGGTCATTTTCTTCTTTTTATTTCTCATTCACTGAAAAGGCCCCGTGAGACTCTGCGCCCTCCAGCGCTGCACTCCGGAGAGCGGAGGACTCGGCCGCTCGGCGGGCTCTGTTCAGGGAGGCAGAGCCAAACCCAAGGCGCTCCCACGGCTCCCTTCCTGCCTGCGCCGCATCATCCGGGCTCCGCAAGGGCATAAAATGTCCTGGCCATGAGGCCAGCCTGCCACTGCCTTTTAGCGGTGTGCCTCTCTTTCTCCCCAGAGCGGGGGAAGATTGACTGCATTTTTTTCAGCATGTCTCAAGCTGCATCCTCCTGACGAGGACGCAATAAATAACAACGGCCAACAAGCTGGGGAGTGGAAGCGTGTGCGTGTCTGCTCAAACCCTTTCGTGAACAACTTAATAATGCAATACGCAAATAAAATATTCTGCAGTAATATAGCTTTGCCGCGATGCTGTTAAAATAAAGATAATGGATGTGAGTGAGTTAGCACCGCGGTAGGGAGCAGGTTTCAATGGCATCGCGCCTCATCAGCAGCCGCCCCGTTCCTCACGCCGTCGTCACAGGTGAGCTGGGCAGCGCGCAGAGGCGCGAGGCGGCGGGGGGGGGGGGGGGGGCGGGGCCCCTGCTCCTTCGCGATGCACGGAGGGGTCACCTCCGCTCGCTCTTTCCTCTCTCAGTTCCTTCCCTGCTTGGTTTTCAGAGATTAGAAAATCAGGCTTTAGCTTCCCTGGCCCACATTGTTCCTTCCTCCTCCCCAGCCGTATTAAAAGCTACAGGAGGGTGAGGAAACTTTTGTGGAGGATCCCCTGCTCAGGCCCTGTGGAAAGCCGGGCTTGATCTTCCCTCGCTCCT